CAGTCGAACCAACACCAGGCCCATGCCCACCGTATATAATTTAGCGTATTGTGGGCTAGCAATGGAATCATGCCTTCGCATGAAAACTTCAGATCTCAAGTGCTTTAGATACTTATTACTCTAACACAGTCGGGCATACTGTTGCACAGAATGTCACGTTACGGTTAGGTACAGTCTCTTTGGGTCTCTTTGCGGCGTAACCATAAAGCTACATGGAATTTGCTCGCGTCATGTTAGTTAGTTTCCAAGCCTCATTTAAGAATGTCTCAAAGTGAGAACACGATTCTAGTATGACAAGAATCGCTTGCAAGTATAAGTCGATTTAGACTGAAAAAACATGCTTTTGAGGGCTTTTTATCAGTTACGCCATGTAAAGGTTTTGGCCTATTGGGAAACTAAGATTTTGATTACAAGGGACTTGAAAATATCTATCCAAAAACTTGAACATGATATAGGTTAATGTTCAGTTTGTGGACGATGTTGGTTCGGTTTGAAGCCGTTTGATTTTTCGCCGGAGGAAATGTTATGGTTCGACTGGCCTGATCAACCACACGCTAATTCTAATCATATAAATTCGCATACTTTTGACAATGAGACATTTTCAGGTATCACACAAAGTTTGACGGCTGATCAGACACCGGAGAAAGCTACCCCCATAAGTCATACTTCAGCCAGTAGATGAAGGGTGTGTTCGCATCCTTTGGGTTTGGCAGCGAAAACTGTCATGTGATTTGTGAACGAATCACGCATGAAAATGCACTGGTACCACCCATACGAAATGCCTTTACTAGTCTGCTGATCTGCTATGATGGTCAAGACAGAAGCAAAAATGTTGAGACAAGATGAAAGGCGTTTGCTGATACCTACTGTGCTGATTGTCAAAAGTTCTGTAAACACACGCAAACGTTGCATGGATAATAAAACTAATCAGTTTACGTTGTTGCAAAATATCCCGTTTGACCGCGAGCCGTCGATCAGTGGTTTTATGAACTCGCACTTGAATAGGGCTTAAGTCCACCCGTCCTTCGGTCACGCGGATCTCCTCACACAATGACCTGCTGACTGACTCGTCTAATGACAATTTTTCCAACGAGAAACCTGGAGCAGTTTGTACGCTCTTTAGCTTTGTGAGCAGGTTGCGCCCTGTTTTTTTAGGGAAAGTTCACTTCCGGTAATTCCCAATAAGGATTTATGTCATGAGATTAACAATTTTCCGGGAAAACTCTTCTTAGGAGGATTTGACAAATCCAGCACAAGTTTAAGAGAACTCCACGTAATGAGAAGGTCTTTATCGTTTATTAGATTTAGTATACGCCAATCCTATCAAGAGAGACCCCGGAGTGGAGGCTGTTCCTCCGGAGTAAGGAGGAGGAACTCCTTGTCAGGTTTTCGTAAAATTTCTTACCTCATCTGAAGCCGAGGCTATGCAGCCGATGGTGTTTTTCAACTTGCGATTTTACCTCTGATGAAAGTCTATAAACCCCACAGTATAATAATAAGCTCTGGATAAACATGTTTCAAAGGCCAGGTAATGGTTACGATAAACACAACCTTGAGACGTAAACCGACTCATCGATGGATTCTAGATTGTTAAACACCTGGTTAATCTAGCTGAACAAATCCTATTCCACGATTTTGTCATCACTGTATAGTGTTCAGTATGCCATGTGCTCTCAGAGGAGTTCCTAATTCTCCATGTGGTTCCAAATCCCACATTCGAATCCCACATTCCTACTAGATTTACAGTTGGTTATTCCGTAAAATGTGTGCATCGGGCTGGCTCAAATAAACAACAACTTGTGCGTTCGTGTAGACGAAATAACATTCAGGTAGATAACAGAGAGAAAAGGAGAACATGTAGATTTGGCTCAGGAATCCTTGTCTCACTAGGGAAACGGAGAATAACTGAGATCTCACATGTTCCATAAGCACTGAACTAATACTACCTGAGTACCACGCCGAGGTAGAATACCAGCGGTAGAATTGCCCCAGAACTCTTTGAGGAACTTACCCAAAACTTCCATGGCATACAGCGGCAGGCAAAATTTAACCTGACAATTCGGTTAGGAAGTAATAGCGTATCCACCATCAAGGTCAGTCATTAAGCATTTGCCTCAGGTTTGCAGGTCACGTACTAGGACAGTCAAGTAGATCCCATCGAGAAAAGCGTGAAGATATCACAGCAACCCAATTAATAATAAGCATCTTTATCTCATGTTGACATCTGACTCCCGCAGACTCTTCATTTTGAAATGGTAAGCAACCCAAGTTGGGTAAATGTTAGCTGACCCTACATTTCTGTCTTAGCATCTTTCAACTAATAGGCATTACTAACTGTTTTGCGCATACTAGTCACCTAACTCCGGTTGTGATATAAAAGTACCAGTTTTAGGTAAGTAACCTTTTAAATCGGGGCTTCTCATGGACTTTCGTCCTATTATCGTGCGACTTCCGGTAAGGATAGTAAGACTTGTGTGGCGAATGTCTCGGTGACAAACTTAGAATTACTTAAGCATAAACCGGTTGATAACCATATAACTATCAGCATCATCTTCATCATCACTGTTGTATAAGTTTAGAGTGACCGCTAGATAAGCATGCACAACACTGCAGGTTCTCGCCACCATCGACAACCCTTTCAGAGTAGAACATGGATTGTGCAAAGACGGACTTTGAAGCGGTTGAGAATTACGATAAGGATGTTTTTGGAAAAGCAAGACCAAAACAGGAGCTGAACCACAAATGATACTAGGAGCATTAGTTAAGCTCGCTTGTTTGAAAACGACAAGCGGAATTTGTTTTTGAAGACCTAAGATCATCCGAATGGGTTGCACTCTGTCTAGAAAAAGCTCAGCCAGAGACCCTTTGACAAATTGTCCAAAGTCTTTTTCTTGGAATGCCTTAAGGTGTCCCAGATGATTCTGAGACCTCCGGCAATAAATGATATATGTGATTCCTGAACAGCGCCCACTTCTCAGGTGGGGTAAAAAGCCCTTTTTTATCTTTTCTTATGTTTACAAGTCTCCTACAAGTCTCAGACAACCACTAACTTCTGAATATCTACTGTACCTTCTAACCACCCTTAGAAGCCAACGTTCCTATTGTAGAAAACTCAAAAGTTTGGCCCACTCTATCCTGAAACTCGTTCTTTTGGCAGCTTAATCATGAAGAATTCGCGATTTGCTTGTTCTCATAGGTCAGTGTTTTTGAATTAACCGCAATATCTCAGTTGATACCCAGATGCATTCAGTCAGTCAGATTTCAGGTGGCATCTTCAGACTGATACTACCATGGGGACAAGACCAAGTGAAATTCCTCAATAAAAACAGGACGACATATGGTTGCAGCTAAGTAATACGACAAAAATGTGGTACACACAATCAAGATCGTTCGTTTGCTGGTAGCTGGGTGCTTTTGAAAGCTACTTCAAACGGAAAATTCCATGCGACCCTGTTTGGTGTGGTGATGCCCCAGTAGGTGTGTTGGCGGTGTAAACACTGTTTGCCACTACGAATGATAACAAAAAATGTAATGCTTTGCTCACACAGTAAGCCACACTGCTGGAAAAGCCAGAACCAAGACCGATATTCAACGACCACTCTAACAATCTCTGATATTTTGAAACTCATGTTGGTTGTTCAACGCTAATTCTTCCACATATAAGAGGCATTCTGGTGTAATATGTGATCAGATTCCGAAAAACTCACCCAGTCTCAATCTCTTACACTATAGGGAATATGGTGGCATCTGGGCCAACACAACCTGTATACCATTACACGCCCCGAAGTGAATGTATGACCCTTAGGCTACACAAAATCCTTGAGTCTGACAACGTATCTATCGTCAACTGCACTGCTCCGGAGCTTCGCAAGTCTTGTTGGATCTTGTATATGCAGCTGGAACAGCGTTTGTTGTAGACCGTATCTGCAATGTTCTTTACAGTGCAGTCGCTACTGTTCCGCACGGCCGATCAGATTAGCGGTTTCTGAAACTGTACTTTAACTTTGCCCTCCCTTACAGTCACAAACCATTGACCATGATTCAATAGTCGAACCATCAGACTATATATGTGGTGTGATTTCAAATAAACAAGGGTTATTTAGCTAAGTTTATGTAGACTCTGCCAGAGCGATCAGCATCTAGCTGTTTGTTACCCATGGTGAGCAAGGTCAACCACTGACATTGTTCGTTGGCTATACGCTAGATGCCACATCGAATGAAGACACGTGAGTATACGTGCAAACACAAAAGTATCACGAGGCGACATAGAAGCTGAAAAGTAGATACTGCAAATATCCTCCGGGATCTTCCTTTTACAATGATTTGCATATCAGACAGCTAGTAACCACCGCTATTAAAGTTTCTGGCTTGAGTTTCTACATCCGTTACTGATGTTTGATATCAAGCCTTGAGGTGACAAATCGCCTCATATTTAGTAGTTACAGTGTTGTTTCTCAAAGTTGCTGGACTACGTAGTTACGAACCACTGGTACCCGAGAAAAGCTCGGGTTGTGTAGATAACGCTTGTTTTGTCAGCTGAGCTGGGCTTCCTGGTTTTAAACGTTTTGACTGCATTCAAGGTGGTATGGTCGCTAAGTACTCAACTAGCACTACATGTTGGGTCAGATTCGCTTCAGAGAGTGGGCTGCACTAGGTAGTGAACCTATCGCAATATGCACGGTGGACAATGAGACGAAATCAGCGGCACGCTGCCCTCTGCATTTGCTCAACCGGACGGGACAAACACGAGACAAGCCTGGTTATGAATGAGCCTAGCTGTCAGCCAATATGATACAGGCAGCCATAATTTGGTAAGCATTCTTGCGCTGTCGCCAACTCCTATCTCTAAGAACCAAGCTAAGACTAACAAAGAGTGACACTTAAGCCTGGTGGCGCCACGCACTGACTACCAGGCCCGTCGGGGCGGAATTTACCAGTATGAATCTCATGTGTACTTTAACGTTTATAACAATTATTAATGCTCTGTCTGCATGTTTTAGACCAGCGGCTAAATTTTTCAGGCCACATGAGGGCGGTAACGATTTCGATATTGAGACAGAATCAAACAACTGCGTGCATCAGAATTCTGGCTTTCTTTAGAGCAAACGATCCACAGTGGGCGAATGACGAGAAAGAATCGCCAACACAACTGCGATCCAGTAGGTTTCGCATCGTACCTTACCCCACGATGCACCATTTTTCACAGACGCATCTCAACGGACACAGGTTTTATCTTGTTCGATAATCCACTGTAAAAAAATATCGATCTTTTTTTCTTGGAATTAGTGTGTGATATCAGTAAAGTCCTATAGTGAGAGTGCACATACAAAATTTGAAACGCCCAATTAACGACACAGTACGAGGACACAATCCACCGGTGTGGTGGTATGCAATTGACAAATCAAGGATCTGATCGGGTCTCAGTGTATCTCAGATGACGAGAAGAGTGGAAGCGCTTTTGGCCTCGAGTAATCGACACCTTAGCCAGTGAGCACACGATGCAAAGCAACCAACCACAATCCACCATAGAGCTTGGAAGTATAAAATAACCGACACATTCAACCATGTTCATGCACTGAATACCGAAACAATGCCAATCGAACTTGCGCCAGAAGCTGTGGAGGCCCCAAGACGTATTATTCTACCAATCGACAACAGTGAACACTCGAAGCGTGCCATTGACTGGTACTTTGCGAACGTGCAACGTGAAAATGATTTTCTGCTATTTGTACATGTGGTTGAACCCACAAGAAACAACTCGTCCGTTGGTGTCGCAATTGAATCTGCGCCCAGTCTTCTGGGCACTGTATTGCGGGTGTCGGAGGAGTCTGTAAAAGAGGGGAAACAAATATGCCGTGAAGCCATGCAGAAGGCGAGTGCACATGACGTAAAAGGGCAGTCCTTTCTTTACGTGGATACCAAGCCGGCTGCAGCAATCCTCAGAGCCATCTCAGAACTCAAAGGTGATTTGGTCATTATCGGAAGTCGAGGAATCGGATCGGTGAGAAGAACTATTCTGGGAAGTGTCAGTAATCATGTGCTTCATTATGCACACGTTGCTGTTACAGTTATCCCTCCATTGGATCATCCGCATCATCACCATTGATTCCTCCTCTCTCAAGATGTTGTTCCGAAAAGCTGTTTGCCACAAAATTGCCCACGGCCAACTTTGATATACAAACCACTGACGTGGCGTTATTTATCAAGTGTCTAATTCGTGATAAAGGTAACAGGCTAACAGCTGGTGAGACCAATAATCGATTCTTGATCTCTTTCCATCCTGTTTCTTGATGCGTTGGGCCACTACCGTTTGTCAGACCAAAAAGCTTCGGAAATGTTCACAAAGTAAGAAACAACATGCAACAGTGAAGAGCAATTGCATGTGCGGATAGCTAACTCAGTAAATTTTTTACATGGACAAATCATTCTCGACATGTTTATCTAATATTCAGTAGAAGCAATTCAGAAAACCATTCTCAAAATGAGCACTTGCGACGCGGTCATTTGAATTTAAATGTCCTGTTAGAGATTACGCTTGACAGGGAAGCACTCTTTACAAACAAAGCCACTTCAGCGCATACAAAAACCATGTAGGTTTCATAGGGGTATGCACGGTGAAATCGTATCGCCAAACAACGCCCATCGACTGCATGAATGAAAAAATGAGCGCCAGTCCCGTCATTTCTGCAGCAACTCATTATCCGTACAGAGTTTATACCAGCTTCCTTGGCACACAATGGCATTTTATAGGAAGTACTTCTAAGATGTACTTCTTATTTGCCCCAATGAAAATATACGAATCCAGGAAGACATCCGGGGCTTCTATACTATGTGTGTTGTTATTGACAACTCTGTGATTGTCATCACATCTATAATGAATTAACACGAATATGACTACGTGGATTCTGATGGCTGTGTGAATGAGAGAGAAACGCATTCAAAAGAGTCAACCAGATGACTGGCAAATCTCCCAAAGCAACAGAGAGAACTGTGTTTACAAATAGCTCTTTTCACAGCCCATTGGGGCAGTTGTGATATATCGACTTTACGCCCGTCGCTGTATTCACAGACATGCTGGTTTGTTTCCACTTGCAATAGCACTTCATCCTGGAGAACTGGTTTTCTTTATCAAACAGTATCTACCTACCTCGATAATAATGATGGTCCGAAAACGCCACCAACTCTCCTACGCCATTTGTGGTGGTGTGAAATCCTTGTTGCTCTGACGTTCATATCACACTATAAGTGAACTTGCGTAAAACAAGAATGTTTTATTGAGACTCTGGCGACGGAGGAAAGGGTTTGCACATCCAATTATCCTGTCGGTAAAATGCGCACCAATCAGAATAGAGTACGTCACCACTTCCTGGGACAATATACGCCGCAGTTGAAATGGAGGATTATGGTTATCTGAAAACCTGAAGGAAAGTTTGGATCTCCATTTCACCTGGATAAAACAGACATGGGGCATACGAAAAGGTTGCAGGAAAGCGCTCAAGCAAAGTTAGATATAGGCTGCCAGGTGGCAGTGCAGATTCGCTGACAGCCATATATAATTTATAGTCAGTTAGGACGTTTGTTCAGTTTGCGGAGGTGCTGATTCGAGTCGTCGTGCCCAAAAACTTCATTTAGTCATTATTTACTTATCGTGAATGAAATCAGCAAAGTACACTTTCGCCTAATTGTATGGATATGCAGAGTGGGCCCTTTTTTAGTATATCCTGGATAGATTATTGTTGCTATCAGCCTTATGCAGCAATCAAAACACATCCGGTTGCGAAAGAAACCAACATACCTACTTAATGTACTTGGACTGTGTCGTTCCGAGGATGCCGGCTGTTAGCCCAGGGTAGACTTTGATTTGACATCGTCGATTGCACCATGTACCGTATTATAAAGAAAACTAGTCAATGACAGCTAATCAACTTTGTAATGCACTGAAGACACTGGAATATGTTCCACATTTGAAAGCACGTCCTGAAAGCCTTCATTTAACCAACCAGTAAGTTAGTTCTCCCCGTACTTTCTGAAAAATACGCCATCAGTTACTAAGCCTCCAAAATTGTAATTAGCTATTGAAGATGATGGGTGTAGTCGTTGTTTCGAAGGGCGTTGATCGTTATCTTGTCCTCCTTTTACCTGCCACACAGACTTCGCCGAAATAAAAGGATTAATGGTGGCTGTCAAGAGGAAAAGTATTTAAAGCGTTGTTATTTGCTGACATAATATTNCTTCCTAAAAAGCTAGGAAACTATGCAGAGAAAAGCATTCGTTTGAACATTTTCATTTTCAGGGTTAAGTACGTTGTGTGTTGTGTTACTATGTCAGGATTTCGAAAAAAGAATTTCTTACGGAATGCAAAATAGAATTATGCTAAAAACCTAAGAGACACTGGACACCCACTCATTCCTACTGTGGGTTATAGACAGTGTACCTCTTTTCAAGCTGTATGGGGATTCGAACTCGTCCTTTTTGCTGGGAATAGGACATAATCGACTAACTTCGCTTGACTGTCCGGTTGTGTAATTCATCGGTGCTTAACTAGAATAAAGTGCCACTGGTTCTTCATTCGCGGAGCTCGGCATCGAGTACATTCGGTCTTGACAGACCCCTCAAAGAAATGTTAGTTACAGCTTTGCCTCAAAATACAGGTAAGTTTTCCGGAAAAAGAGGAGTTGAAGTACGCCTTGTCACTGCTGAAATAATTATGGTCTACTGTCACTCCAGCTGGGTAATAACTGACAAATTAGATAGCGTGCAACTTGGCTCGCAGATATCAATAGCTCCGAAATTGCTTTCTTGGTGTACCAAACCCAGGCGAGAAGTTTGACCCGCTTTTATTCTCCAACCCTAACCTTAGAGAGCATAGAAAGCCTCGTCACTATTTGACATTCCTGATATGTTGTGAATCAAGTATTGTTTTTGTCCTGCTCGGTGCTACGGTATCCCTACAAAGGTCTGGACTAATACCAGTCATAGGAGCATGATGTGTGTGTGCGTGTATATGTAAACGCAATGTTTCTGTTGGAGTTAAAGTGGAGGGTGACTTGATATCGCTTCAGTTGATTCATGATAGCTCAACGAATTTCAAGAAGTGGTTCCACTTTACCAAGGACTGATGACTAGTTTGACGCATGGAATGTCGAGAACATTTTATTTGACGCAAGGGAGATGGAATCATGTGTAACTGTGGATGATGTGGTACGCATGCAGACGAGCTGTATACAGTAATCGACCGAGTAACTAGATCAAAAACACTCACACGCGAGTATACTCCCTTAGCGATATGTCTGGTCTGTCCTGTGGAATTATTGTTTAGTTGCCTATTACGTGATCATCCAACGTTCTAGAGCGACTACAATGTCACCACCGGTCTGTAAATCATAACTGAAACTAAAAGGAACTTGATGGAATACACTTATTAGCAGACCAAGTTCGTTTTTACTGAAGGCTCAGCTGAATCCCACGTGAATCTGTCATTTACGGTATTCTTTAGAAACCTGGTGAGTAGTTTGCGTTGACAGAAAACAACGTTATATCATGAGTCATTTTAGTTCTCGGACAGGTGCTGGATTATAGCATCCTTTGCAGCTATCTTCCGTTCAAGAAGAGGAATTTTCTGTGTGATTTTCTCACAAGAGCAATAGAATGGAGTCTAGCAATGTTTCCTAAATACTATTAACTTGGCCACCATCAACTTCCTTCACCATGTCACATGCTCCATGAGTCTAAATTAAGATATCTTTTGTTGTGATCCAATACTGCCCTGTACCCCAAGTATTCGCTGCCGAAGACAGTGCTTCCAAGGAAAGCGCGGCCTGCCTACCGTGGAAAGAACATATTAACTGTAACAAAACAGTGTTTTATTACTTTGGAGCTCGATAATGAACATGGTCATGCAAATTTTTTTCGGTAAAATATCAAGTACATCGGGAAAATTCCGCTTCCCACTACGAACAAAATCGCTAAAGTTTACAGTTTGTCGGTTAGTCGCATGTAAATTTTATGCTGTCGTAAGTAATAACGCCACCTTAACACATTCGAAATGAGAGGACATAAGAGTGGGACGTTTCTGTCCGCAAAAGCATACGGTGAGGAAATTGGTCTACCTTCTTGTGGGAGCTAGTAAAACACGGTCGGGTTTTCGTTATTTCTCGCGTTTCATCCCAGCCATAACATCATTTCGGTTGACAGGAAGCAAAAACGGGCTTTTTTCTAGTGGAAATTCCCAAGAGACAAACTAATGGCCCTAACCTACATCCGGAAAACGTAGACTTGCTTCATCATCAAAAGCAACGACCAGGAATCTAAACAAGGGATATAGAATTTTTCTAGCTTCTGAATCGAAATGAAGCTAGAATATGAAGTTAATTCGACAACATTCATGACATTCGAAAAACATTAGGTCAAGTGATGGCTCACACCGGCAGCACGTTATATGTCTCACCTATTTATCTGAAGACTACCCTGCTTACAATGAAATGAACAGTGCCAAATTTCTAGGGGTAAATTGGCGAAGAAAGATTTCCATCTGTCTTCCGTCTCTATGAAAAGAATGACGCCTTTTAGGTGAAAAGACACACGATTTGTTCCTTCAATCTATAATGTTTGAGGAAGGCGGAGAAATTGCGTAACCGAATAAGTGGAAGTATGTGGCTCCCTAAGAGAGTGCCCTTCCAAGAACGGTGCTTTGGGGTCGGTTCAGGAAGGCATGCTATTCGGGCAGTGCACTATATAAGGTCGAGGGTTGAAGATTGTATCCAGTGGATGGTAATGGTATTTAGTCGTTCTATGTAGGTTAGACGTCTCGTACTTTTTACCAGCCTGTTCATTCTTCATTGAGGCAATGTGTGTGTCGTTTGGTTGACCCTTATCCACAGCTGTTCAACTTGGATGATTCACGTGATTAGAACCTGGCCTAAATCTTCCAAATAACCGAAGAGAAAAACGAAAAGGATGGTTTCCAAAACAGAAGCCCCTAAATATTCGGTGGAACGAAAT